CCCTAGCCAGCTGGCTAGGGAATTCTGGGACTTGAAGTCCACATGTCTTAAAGTTGCCAAGTTTGAGAAGCACTGCTAGATGCCATATCACACTTTGATACCTGTGTCTCAAACTATAGTCAAAAGAGGCAGCGAAATGAGCCCTAAGTTGGAGGTCTTCAACTTTCTAATCTGACTCTCACCTTCTACCACAAAAGTCTCAGAACTGTCGTCCGGGACGGTGGGGAGGCTTTCTACCAGGAGCCCCATAGCTGCTTCCCAAAAAGTTATCTACAACATCTCTTTAAGGGAGCCCATGTCAGTTCTCATGCATTTGGTGCAGTCCACGTCATGATCTCCCGTGACTGTAGATGTTCCAGCAGTATCCACTCAGGCCAGCAACTCCTGGTCTCTGTGGCAGCCACGGGGGTCAACTGGGGGGCTGGCAGGGTACATGTTCCCCCGGATTTTCCAGAGGGGGCCACGCCTACCAGGTGGAGCTTTCATTCTGAGCTGGGCCATCAAGCCAACTGGGGTCAATAATGCCCAGTTTGACCAAGCACATTCAAGGTAGTGGTTTCATTCAGGTGCTATGGCTCCAACTCTCTTGAAACACTGTTTCTAATATTTGGTATTTTCAAGTACTAAATAAAGGTTGGTTGGTAGGTTGGTTGGTAGGTTGGTTGGTTGGTTGGTTGGTTTTAAACTTGCATTATTTGACTTAAGCCCATCCCAATCCCCCAGCTAGGAAATCAACAAGTTCAGGCCCACAGCAACAGCCGCATCATGATCAGAATCAAGATGCGGAAGAAAAATGTTTCATGATTTCAGCAAAAGGCAGAAAAATCCACATATTGAAATGGCAGATGTGAGAAGGGGCCACAACCCCCGCCTCTCTGTAGAATTGGGGGCATTCGATTCCTGCCTCTTTATGGGACTGGCAGGGGCACTCTACCCCTGTCTCACCATGGGACTAGCGTGCCATGGCATTTGCTGCCAAGATCTGACATTGTTCGCCAAGCAGAGTGTCCATATATTGAAAATGCTGATATTTGGTGAATGTCTGCATTAGAATGAGGAATTTCTAATAATTGCTGTTTCAAGGACACGTGGTATCTATCTATCTATCTATCTATCTATCTATCTATCTATCTATCTATCTCATATCTATCTATCTCATATCTATCTATCTATCTATCTATCTATCTATCTATCTATCTATCTATCGGTTTGTCCATCCATCCATCCATCCATCCATCCATCTATATCATCTCTATCTATCATCTATCTATCTGTCTGTCTGTCTGTCGGTTTGTCCATCCATCCATCCATCCATCCATCCATCCATCCATCCATCCATCCATCCATCCATCTATCTA